TAAAAAAAAAAAAAAAAGAAGTGAATTCCAACTCCCGCGTCTTCGTTTTCCCAGGTCTACAGGGTGGATGCGAAGGCCGCGGAGCAAGCTCGCTGGGAAGAATCCTCCAAAGAAACCATCAAGAAGACCACCAAGCCCTGCCCCCGCTGCCACGTGCCTGTGGAGAAGAATGGTGAGCCGGGGGCACAGGACCACGGGACGGGGCCCGCTGAGCTCCTCCTGGAGCCTGACGGCCAGCAGCTCCGGGAGGGCTTCATAGCCAGGCACCCAGCTCGGGGACCTGGGAGCCCCGCCGACTGAATCCCAGCGCCCCCCTCAGCTCCCTTGACCTCCTGAGCCCAGGCCCTCACCTGTCCATCGCCCTTATTATCACTTATTAACAATAGGAGAGCCTTCCAGTCCCCCGGCTGAGGGGTGCGGGGCGGGCAGGAAGCAGAGAGGCTGCGGCCCTGGGAGAGGGCGCGCCCCACATCACCGACGTTTAAAGGACGCAAATTTAATACAGGCTGGGGCAGAAGTAGGTTTGCAGTTGTGAGCACGCAAAACGGAGTTTATTCTTGTATTATTATTGATTAATTATTGTATTATTTTCCCTACGAACAACTGCAGACCTCCTCTGCCCTCCCTCCTTCCCCCGAGGGTCCCCGTGTGCGCGGCCGGGAGNGTTTATTCTTGTATTATTATTGATTAATTATTGTATTATTTTCCCTACGAACAACTGCAGACCTCCTCTGCCCTCCCTCCTCCCCCCGAGGGTCCCCGTGTGCTAGGCCGGGAGGAAGACAGGGCCGCCCGTGAATATCCCTCCTTCCTGCTCGCTGTGCCGTTGCCACCTGGCTTCTGTGAAAAAATCTTATTTTAATGCCAGTAGTTTATGGCCGTAGGATCGTGTAGGACAGGAAAACCTCCTCGGTCTTTCATCCAGCATCACTTCACTGTTCCTCTGCCCTCGAGTGTGTTCTCAGGGGCTCTTTATGATGCTCCAGAGAAGCTTAAGTGATTGAACGGCATCCCGTTACTTTATTATGCTAATCGCATCGTAAGCGTACAAGCCTTAGATATGTGTGGAAAATTATAGGACCCTGTAACTGTGTGGTCCTAAGTGGGAAACACTGAGATAAAAGGATCCTGAGGGAGTTTTTCCCTTTATCTTCCACATACTTGTAATTTTTAAATGACCTTTGAAACAAGTCAAAGTAAATGTTTATACTTTGAAACTATATGTTTACACTTTGAATATGAAAAACATATTCATAGTATATGTTTACATCGTTACATGTTATATATTACATTATTTAGTATATTAACGTAGACTCGCAATATTAAACTTAATATCTACTTAAAGAAGGAATCGATCCTGCTGGCGAAACACACAGCGTTTGTCTCTAACTCGCCCTTCAGGAGAAGCCAGCGAGGTCAGAGTGACACATAAAATTGGTCCTCGGTGGGCGTGACATTTCGTCCCGACTGCCATCACTTTTATGTATTTATTTATTTATTTGTAACCCTCACCCAAGGAAATTTTTGGCATTGATTTTTAGAGAGTAGACGCGAGGGAGGAGCGGGAGAGAGAGAAACATCGATGTGAGAGAGACGCATCGATTCATTGCCTTCCACACGCGCCCCAACCTGGGCTGGGCATCAAACCCCAACTTCTGGGGTATGTGCCCTGGACTGGGAATCGAACCTGGGACCCTTCGGTTCGTGGCCAGCACCCTGACCACTGAGCCAGGGCCCGAGCGCCACCACTTTGAAAGCTGTGTGTGTCCTGATTTGTGTTCCTCCATTCAGACGCCCCTGGGCTGGGGTGGGGGCGAGGTCCTCCCCCCCAGAGTTTGCCGTGTCCTTTGCCCCCAGGAGGATGCATGCACATGAAGTGCCCGCAGCCCCAGTGCCGGCTGGAGTGGTGCTGGAACTGCAGCTGCGAGTGGAGCCGCGCCTGCATGGGCGACCACTGGTTCGACGTGTAGCTGCCACGGGCCCGCCACCGGCCGCCCAAGACACAGCGACCAGCGTCTGCGACTCTTCCCTCTCCACACACGCACACATATGCACACACGCACACATATGCACACACACACACTTGCGCACACTCGCATGCACAGTTTTTTCCAAAATCACAAAACCAGGTACGGGGCATCCCTCGCCCGTGAGAAACAGCAGCCCTGGATGTGAGACCAGGGAGAACAGTCTCGGGCCTCAGCAACCCCTCCCCCCCGCAAGAGCACAGGTGACGTGCAGCCCACAGGTGACACACATCTCAGAGAGTGAGTTCAAGGCAGGCTGGACGTTCTCAGGGGTTCTCGGGGCTGATCCCCTGCCCTCTACCTTCGCCGGCACTGGGAGGAAGCTCGGGCGCCCTGGGAAGTCGGTCTGAGGGCCCTCTCGGCTCCTCTGAGGTCGGCAGCCCTGGACCCTCAGGACTCAGCAGTGGACCCTCAGGACTCAGCAGTGGACCCTCAGGACTCGGCAGTGGACCCTCAGGCCTCGATTCACCGCCTTCGGAGCGCAGCTCGCAGCTCCGACAGTCTCCCAGAGCGTGGCTTCCCGAGGGACCACAGGCGGCAGTGCAAACACCGTGTCCCCCCCCCCC